CAATGGGCTGGGACCTCCCACATCGATCACTAACTAAGAAAATGCCTTACAGGCTTGCCTGCAGTCCCATCTTATAGAGACATTTTCTTAATTGAAGTTCCCTCCTCTCAGATTGACTATTGCTTGTATAGTTAATATAAAACTATCCAGCCCACTGGGTGAGCCTAGCTGGAGAAGAGGTGACAGTGTGAGCCCTGGAAATCAAGAAGAGCAGGTAAATTTGGTAATGACCTGGACAGCCAATGAATGGGAGACAGCAACAGCGCGGTGCTAGTGGTGAAGGGGAGACGGTGTGCAACAGGAGGGAGCGGCCCACTTGGTTGAGAGGTAAAGTTGACAAGAGAAGGGGGCACTCAGCAGGTCCGGCCACACTAGGAGCCATGAGACAGGACCCAGCAAGTGTGCGTCATGGAGACAGTGTGAGATGAATGGGGACGGTATCATTAACGGACTGCTTCAGAGCCCAGTAGTGAAGGAGAGTACAGAGGCTAAGAGTCTGGGAAAGAATACGGCGTCAAGGGAGGTTTTATTTCTTCCTTTGTGTGTTGAACATGGACGGTAGAAGATCACACTCTCTAGTAGAGGAAGTGAGGTAGGCAGCGCTGAAGGGATAATCTGAGAAATAAAGGCTCGGAAAGGAGAGTGGAGATCAGAGCGGGCAGGTGGGTGGTCTTTGGCGAGAAGGACATGTGGCACGGTGAGGTGGGAGAGTAGGACACGATGAGAGAAGCCCTTCGGTGGCTTCAGTTTTCTTGGTGAAGCATAAAGCGTTGTCACCAGCAGAAACTGAGGTAAGGATGGTATGAAGAGAGATGTGAGATGGCTGCCTTGAACAATGGAAAAGTTAAGAAATGTGGAAGGTGTCTAAGATCACTAGGCATTGCTGAGAAATGGGAGAAGTGTGCCAACGGCCTACCATGAGATTAGTACAACCACTAATATACTAAACCAGCATAATCCCTAACAGCATCTGGTTATTGGCCCTTATACCCACAGATAAGTGTAGTCTTCATTAAGAAAACTTTTCTCCACCACAGACATGGACCACTACAGAAAACCACAACCAATCAAAATGCATTGTTGTGGAGCCCAGTCCCAATGGCTACATCTTCCGAACACTCCTGCACTTAAGGCTCTGGGAACACTGCTGAAGAAGAGGGGGTAGAAAGGTTGTAAGAGCCAGAGGACCAGGGAGTTTGCTGGGTCTCCTAGTCATATTAGAGGCTACCCCCATAAAGCGTCATCAACACGACTGCCCAAACATGGGCCGAAGGAGGACAACAATGGACTTGCCAAAGTGGGTGAGGAAAGGCCACAGGCTTCAACCCTGACGTTACACAAAGAACCAGAACAACCGAGGAAAGCCGGCGGGGGAAACATGTTTTCCCCAGGGAAGAGCACACCAACTGGTTGTCCAGTGATAAATGGTCAGCCCTGAAAATATATGTCTTACAAATATATATGGATGCATGCAATAACAGTTAGTGAAGAGGCCATGCATTTGAAGAAGAGAAGGGAGGGGTGTATGGGAGGGCTTGGAGAGGGGAAAGGGAAGCGAGAAATGTTGAATTTATAATCTGAAAACCTCTTTAAAGCCCTGCCATTAGCATTCCCACAGTAGATTCAGGACTGTTTAAAGACATGTATGTCATTTACATTCCCTAGAAAAACCTAAAGTTTCAGTGTGAGGTCACATTATCATAAACGACCATGGGTTCATAGTGCCACATATGGCTTTATTTTTACAAATGTAGGTTGGTAAAGGAATTAGCACAGTACTGTGGGTATGCACCTGAGAACATAGTTTAGCAATGATAAATAGATCAGCTCTCTATTATTTAGCAATGCTGGCATGGAAGCTTAATTGATAAACCAATATATTTGCCTATACAACATTTGGTACTACCTAAAACAAACAAGGAAAATGACAGTCCTTTGGATATTTATGTACACTGAGTTTATGAGCATAAATATCTCCTTTAATAACTGTATTGGAAATACAAATATGTAACACTAACAGAAACTTTATATACTGTGGAGACATTAGAAAGTTAAAGGGGTGGAGAGATGGCTCAGTGGTTAGGATCACTGACCATTGTTCCAGAGGACCTGGGTTTGATTCCCAGCATCCACATGTCAGCTTACAACAGTCCTTAACTTGAGGTCCAGGGGATCTAGCTCCCTCCTCAGGCACCAGGCACGCATGCATCACACAAATGTACATGCAACCAAAACAACTCCTACAACCTAAGGTTCAAGGAACATCATGGAGGAGGCGCGGGAAAGATTTTAAGAGCTAAAGGAACAGAAAGTCTGCTATGAAGATGTGTCTTTTGGATATGATGGGGAAACCACACCCGTGAAATCTTGACAACATGTCTGCTGATGCAAGACCTGAACCATGACAGCAGTTGACATACCAGCGTGGATGGGGGAAATCTCACAGGGTCCACCCTTAGACAAAAAGCCATAAGCAATCAATGACCAGAGAGAGAGAGAGAGAGAGAGAGAGAGAGAGAGAGAGAGAGAGAGAGAGTCTTCCCCAGGGTTGAGCCCTTTAACTGGTTATCAAATACCAAGTGGTCATCCATAAAAATGTACACATACAAGGAACACTAAACCAACTCAGCAGATTGTATTTATACATATTGACATACTTATTCACTTACATATTTGCAACAATAATAATAAAGAAAAGCAATGAATTTGAGGGGGGGTGTATAAGGAAGGAGTTGGTAGAATGAGAGGGAAGGGAGAAAATATATTATATTTCATTTTACAATATTTGAAAATTAGAAAACATCTAAGGCCTGGAAAGAAGACTTGGCTGGTAAAATGCCTGCCACACAAACATGAGTTTCTGAGTTTGGATCCCCACATCTGGGTAAAAACTGAGCAAGGTGGTCCGTATCTGCAATCCCAGTACTGAGTGGACTGTGTGCTCATTGGCCACTCTGCCTAACCAAATCGATCAGCTTCATGTTCAGTGAGAGACCTGTCTCTAAAAGTCAGGAGAGGGGATAAGAGAGGGTAACACGGGAAGGTACGGTCAAAATACATTTTACACATGCACACTGAAATTGGGAGATAATAAAAAAACAGGTCTTGTTATGACCACAAAATATAACGTTAAAGGACAACATTTTGGGTCAGGCCCATGAATAATTCTTACTCTACCACATGATGAGGGACACACACACCCAAGCGACGTTTCAGAAGTCGAGGGGATAGCTAGCTGCCCTGCTGTTGTGTGAGCTCCAGGCGGCTCTCATGTGAGTGTGTGGAGCTTAGCCAGCGGGCTTTATGCTATCCTGTCAAGTTTCTGCCATGTTTATCTGAGTGAGCAAAATGAAACACCGTCACAGAAGTGCTGACGTTTCTGGTCCCTACAACAAGCTGAATGTGCAAAGTCAAAGCAGAAGCTTGTATAACGCACAGTAGAGTGAGTCACAGATAAATTCTGTGTTTTATGGGGCCGTGTAACCTGTTATGGTTATATGCAGTGATTATGTCGAATTAAAATGGTAGAGTGAGGCCAAACTGCCCATAAAGATTTTTGTCCCTTTCAAACCTGCGTTTTTGGAGGAGCCAGTTACCTGGAAGACAGGCGTTGCTGCCGAGCGTGGATCTCTGGTAAGGATGGCTTCAAGTGGCTCCGTGTGGCTCACAGAGACCAGGGCAGCTTTGATCTCACGTGATATGTTGACCTCACTGGAGGATTGGGGAGCCAGATTCCCTGAGGCTGGAGCCCATTGGGTTGTGATGTCTATGTGTACATTGATGGCCAAGAACTTAATATGAGGCAAACCCCCCACCTTTCGTAAGCTGCCATGTGAACATCACGTGTATCCCATGCACTCATAGGGTATGTTCATTAACTACAATATTTAGAATTGTTCCAATGATTGCACACTTATGCTCTTGAGAGAGGTGGTCAAAGTGACTAGTTTTTTTGTTTTTGTTTTTGCTGCCCAGTGAGCAAAACCTTTTAGAAAGTTCACTCTTGGATGATTTTTTTCAGCAGTAAATAACTAAAAACACATCTTAAGTCTCAAAAAAAAAAAAAAAAAGCAACGTGTTTCCTTATAAAACTTAGAAATCTGAATGTAGCAGCCTGGGCTAGAACAGCAGCTCTGTATGCAGTAAGAAACTAAGATTTTTCCTGACATCTTAGCCACAGCGGTTTATTTCTTCATGGCTACAATACAGCTGTGTCAGCCGCACACATCTTTCCAGACAAATGACGGGAAGAAGCATGGCCGAGCCACATCATCATCAGGAAAGATCCCTGTCCACATCTCCACCTTGTAGAAGCCACGGATGCCTGCAAGGCTGGTAAACAACTCCTTATTTTGTCTCCGTAGTAGAAAGTGAGCAGGAAGGGGAGTGGAGGAATGGCCAGCCAACACTGACAACTGCATTAACTTCATTTTGTCGATCTCTACGCCTACCCTGTGAACGGGCTTCTGTGGCTCCGAGGAAAGTATCTTAATAGGCTTCTCCACATCGTTCCGTTTTTCTTACTACTTGCACGTCTGTGTTTTTGTTAAGTGTCAACAGAAGCTACAAATACCACACCTGGCCTCTTACAATAAGCCAAGCTTTAGGTTAGCTGATGTTTCTACCTAGATTTAACAGAATGGTACTAACTCTCCCGGTAGGGTGAAAAATCACTGTCCCTGTTTCTCAAAAAAAGCCGAGGCTTGGGACACATGTAGGCTATATACTAAGTGTCAGGGGTCAGATTTAAATGCAAGGTTACATGGCTCAAGAGCTTTTCCTCCCAGCACCAGCTCCAACACCACATATACCATAGCCCTGAGGGGTTGGGGTAAGGCACTCCGTGGGGACAGCACTTCCTGCCCAAGTGCAGGGACCAGTGTTCGGGCCCCAGCACCCAGGTAAGAAATGGTAAGTGTGGTGGTCACCTGTGATTCCAATAGTTGGGAGGCAGAGACAGGGTACACCCTGGACAAGCTACCTAGATAGAAGAGCCAGAATCAGCAAGCAGGTTTATTGAAAGAACAGGGAGGAATCTAGAGAGACACCTGACATCAACATGTGTGCCCAACAACATTAGAACGCGCATACACATCCACACACTTGTCATATGCATACAAAGAAAAACAGCCTTGAGAAAGTAAGTGCGTATTGTTTTCATAATTCCTATACATTCTTTGAATATTCAGTTGCTGCTTCCTTATAACCCCTTGAAGTCATTCAAGAGAGAAAAAAGGTTACTCAGTGCTGGCACTGTCTCCCCAGTGGGGTCAGGAATGGGGTCAGGGTTCCCCAGGGTCTTGCCCCGGTGACATTGGCTCCCTGTATTGCCTGCTCCATGCTTGCTCTTGGATGGATGCACTGCCTGATGGGTTCCTTGTTCTTGCTGTCCTCTTAGGAGCTCAGAAAGGTCTCTGGGAAATACAAGACACATGGTTTAAAAAGAAAGGGCTGTCTCCAGCAACAGCTCTGCCCCACACCATGCAGCTGGGGCAGACAGGACTCAACTAAATGCAGCCCGAGGTTTCTAGCCCTGGCCCATGAGAGGACTCCAACAACTACTCCGCTCCAACCAGGACCCCCAACCCTCCACAATCCGCACCCCAGCCTGGCAGTTGTGATGAAGAAGATCTTAGGATCTCCTTGTGATGAAGAAGCATGGTCATGCCGAGTGCCCTGACAGACTGAGCAGGACAAGGAGACTCACACGCAGACCTGGGGATAAAGCCCCAGGCTCCAACGAGAAAACCCTGGCCTACCCAGCACCTTGTGGCACCGGGCAGATAGGCACTATTATGGTGAACAAATGTGTGATGTAGTATGGAAGAGAGACAGAATGGTTCATGGCCTGTAGACAGAGGCATATCTGAAGAGGTGAATAAGGGGAGGAGCGGGCCGAGGTTGATGGCTTGATTGTCATCTAGGGCGATGGTGATGTCTGGGGACTGGGCTGCTGCTGGGGCCCATGACTGGGTTCATGGCCCTGAGGCAGCCCCAGTCTGTGCTGATGTCCATGGCTCCTGATACCACCAAAAGCCGAGAGGACAGGGTTGTACAGAGTAGGCCCCGCCCCTCACTGGCTGCAGGAGAACTGGTCCTGTCTGTTGGTTATTTGCGGCGCTCTTACCCTGCGAGGAAATGTCACGAAACTCGACAGAATCCACTAACAAGAGTTTTTTTTAAGATAAGGTAAAGAGACAGAGGTGCACAGGCCTGTGGAAAGACAAGTGAGTAAAGATGGAGCCGGGAACCATGGCGCCGGCTTACTGGGCCGGCCTATGCACACAGGCCCATGTGGTTATTCCAGGCATGCGCGTAGATCACATGGTTGCGCCTGTGCTTTACGCAACCACGCAAAGCCTCGGGGTCCTGGTCACGGGAGACCTGGAAATGGCTAGGTGGAAGTGACTAGGTCCACTGGGCATGTGCAACCATGCCCAACAGTGGGAGCGTGTTGTGAATCCATATCACTGCCTCTCATCTGCTCAAGCACTCAGGAGAGAGGATCCTACACCTCACCTGAGCAGTACAATAGACCTGACCCTGTTTGCAGGGGCATGACCCTGAGGGCGTGAGAATGGGAGAGCAGGTCGTGCCCCTCTCATTTGCCATGTGATGGCATGGGTGAGGGAAAGATGCCCTCCTCCCCTCACCCCTCGCCACCTGCAGCAGGTCGGGGATCCGACCCAACCCCTCACCAGCTGCAGCACTCGGGAGAACAGGCCCCGGACCTCGTCTGGGCAGCACAGTAGAGCTGACCCTGTAGACAGGGGCACAAGTAAGCCAGCCCTGAGGGTGAGAAAGGGTCATAGTTGGTACCGCCTCCATTTGGTGGTGGGAGTGAGGGAAAGATGCCCTCTCCTCTCGCCCCCACCATCTCCAGCTGGCAAGGGAGCTGACCCTCGCCCTTACCAGCTGCCTGGGTCGGGGAGAGATGCCCTACCCACCTACCCCTCTATGCCCGAGGCTGATGGAAGAGCTCGGCCTGAGGTCATAGGGTCCGAGGGCTGTCCCTGCCCCTCACCAGCCACAGCACTAGGGAGAGTAGCCCCTGTACCTTGCCTAGGCCACACAGTAGAGCTGGCCCTGATGGTGCAGGTGTGGGAGAACCAACCCTGAGGGCAGGAAAGCAGGAGAACGGGCCCCGCCCCTTGCTCATCATTGCAAGGGGTGAACTAGCCTGGGCAATGCTGGAGAGCTCACCCTGGTGGTGAAGACAGGGGAGAGCTGGCAGGCTGACCAGCCCCTCAACTACCCAGACCGGAACCAGGGTTATGAGTTGGCCCACCCCAACATCCACCCCATCTATGATCTGCTGGAGCATGTGAAGGGACTGATCCTGCAGACCCAAAGCTGCAGAATCTCCAGGACACAGGGCAACAGCAGGATATCCAAGAGGAGCCTCAGTGAGGGCCCAGCATCCATAATGTAGCAGAAACCAGAGGCCTGGAACCCGACCAATGACTCTCTGCAATGAACACTTACTTGCAAGTAAAGATATATGGACAAAAGGGTTTACGGCGTGACTCTCTGAGTCAGGCTACAGCTTCCATGGTGAAATCGTTCATTTTTTTCTTCTTTTTCTCTTAGATTTTATTTTATTTTGGGGGGGGAGAGGTTGCAAGGGCAGAGTGCAGATATGAAGGGATGAGAAAATGAATGGGATTGAGATGCATTATGTAAAAGACACAAAGAAAACATAAAAAGAAAGTTTTAAATAAATAAGTAAATAAATGGCTGTGATTGTTTCACCTCTTTGAAGGAAACAGATGTTACAATGGCAAAATTAAGCCCAAATCCCAGGAGGAGGCCCAAAACAGGAAAAAAAAAAATGCTCTTTAAAAACGATGGGAGCCGGGCGGTGGTGGCGCACGCCTTTAATCCCAGCACTCGGGAGGCAGAGCCAGGTGGATCTCTGTGAGTTCGAGGCCAGCCTGGGCTACCAAGTGAGTCCCAGGTAAAGGCGCAAAGCTACACAGAGAAACCGTGTCTCGAAAAACCAAAAAAAAAAAAAAAACAAAAAAACAAAAAAAACCGATGGGGGTTGTGGGATGGCTCAGTAAAGGCACACACCGCCAAGCCTGCTCACCTGAGTTCAGTCCTCAGAAGCCACAAGGTGGAAGGAGAGAAGCTGCTCACTCGTGTCCTCTGACCTCCACACATGCATGAGTGCACATACAATACAGATAAATAGAATAAAAAAACAAATTCTTTTTAAAAAATGAAAGTGCAGAGCAATTAAAATGTTACTAGGGTTATTAAGAAACACCAAAGATTAGAGCTTCATTTCACATCTAGGCAGACATGGGGCACAGACAAAACTTTGCTCAACAAAGCAGCATAAACTAAAATTTTTTAAGGATGAAGGAGTGTACCATTTGACCCTGCAGCAACCTTTTTGACCTGTCATGGGCAGGCACAGGGACTAGACTTACCATAAGCTTGCTGAAGTCAGGACCTTGGGATGTGTGTCAAGAAAGACCCTCTAGAGAGTGGTTCTCAACCTTCCGAAAGCTGCGACCCTTTAATACAGTTCCTCATGTTGTGGTGACCCCTAACCATACAATTATTTCGTTGTTACTTCATAATTGTAATTTTGCTGCTGTTCTGAATCATAATGTAAATATCTAATATGCAGGATGTTGATATGCGATTCCCCCAAGAGGCCATGACCCACATGTTGAGAACCAGACTCTAGGGGCTCTTTATGTGCAATATATGCATCTGTGAGGCTTCCCCACCCCCAACTCCAAAAAACCCACAGGGACATATTTCAACTGTGTTTACAAAACCGAGATCCTCCATCTTTATAGACCAGCCTCTCATGGCCTGGGGATTCTCCAAGATGCTTTTGAGGTCCCAGCTGTGTGGTCCTTACAGTCGGAGGCGAGCGTGGGCGAGGCCGTTTCTGAAGGATCTATCGCAAACCATGAAAGAGAAGCACAGGCAATTATAGCAAGGTCTGTGGGCTAGTCGGCGCTGGAATTCTCTTGAGACTCAAAGGCAAATCAGAAACCATTTCCCTGGTTTTGACTCTTGCAGACACTCAGGTTTGCTGGCGATTATGCATTAATTGCTTGCAAGAGAAGGCTGATGATCAAAGGCGACCTGGGGGACAAGGCCTCTCCTGTCTATGGAGAAGTGCCCTCTAGTCTCCGGCTCCTTTGTATTGATGCAGGCAAGACTGGGACTTTCTTTTTGTTTATTCACCAGGCTAGGATGGCTTTGACAGTCCCCATTGAACGACCCCAGGAACTGAGAGCCCCAAATGTGCACTGTTTCCCCTCCTGGCCATGACCAATGAAGCTTTGAGTTCCTCTGACTCCCTCACCTCTCTGCCCGATGCTGTCCGCGTGATTTCCATCCATCAGGGCTTCCATTCCCTCCAGCCACAGAACCGGCCCAGTGGGTAGTGGGCCAATTCCTGAACTCAAAGGTAGGCCTAGAGCTCATTGTGATCTTATAGTTCTAGAGAAACTACCTGAAACTCTAGAACATTCTTTCATTGCTGTTCTCATCACAGGGGGTCAGTATTTCTACAGTTACACATTTATACATATTATTGTCTCCTTTTTAAACATTAACAATTCAGCAAGGTTGTGAGGGCATAGGTTGTCTGTGGGGCCTTGCAGCTGGTCTTCTGGGCTCAGAATCCAAGGCTTCCTCTTCTATGCATCAGGGGACTCCATATTCGTCAAATTTCCCATTGTTTTTTAAATCACAAATTGGACTTGATGAGTTTTTTTAAAAAAAAAAGAAATGAAGTTAGGTGGTTAGGAAGGAGAAGGTTAGGAAAGACTGGAAGGAGCTTGAGGGAGGGGATGATCGAAACACATTGTGTAAAATTCTCAAAAATTAATGAAAGTATCTTTTAAAAATTGTGTGTGTGTCTGTGTGTGTGTCAGTGTTGGCATACTCAAACCCAAGAACATAGTGTGTATGTTCAGGTTGGAGGCCATGTGGGATCGGTTCTCTCTTCTCTGTGCTGGGTTCCAAGGCTCTAACTCAGGTAGTCGCACTTGGTGACCTGAACCAATTGACTGGTCCACAGTTCCATTTTTGCTTTCCTCAGGAAGGAATAAACTGTATCCCACGGCCTCTGCCTTTTGTATCGTCTCCCGTGCCTTGGGCACTACCCTCTCGTGATCCTTTCATTCTCTGTGATGTTTTGTTCATTCAATCAAATCCTTTAGGTGGAGATGAGAAGTGAGTCTGTTTGCCCTGCAGTGGGCAATTCCTCTCCCAGAGGCAGGGCAAGCCTGTGGGTTTGGTTGTAGTCTTCCAGGGGAGGAAGCAAGTGTGTTGGTCAGGTCGTGGTCATCTGGAGAAGGAACAAGCTGTGGGCTGGGATGTGTCCTCCAGAGACAAGAGCAAAGTATGGGTTGAGATGTTTGCACCTGAGGCACAAACAAGCCTGAGGTGGAATATAGGATATCATTTTATTATGAGTCAGTTCATGTTCAGACTGCAACCTCTGTCTTCTCTCTTCTGCAATTCAGCAGGAATTAGTAGCACACCTTCCCATGAACCTGGCCTGGTGTGTGTGTGTGTGTGTGTGTGTGTGTGTGTGTGTGTGTGTGTGTGTGTGTGTGTGTATCTAAGGGTGCTAAGTGAGCACTGACCACTTGGAATATGACTTAGAAATTAAAACAAAACCAACTTTCAATCTTCACAGACACTAGTGGCAAAACCAGTCTTGGTCAGGTATTTCCCGCTTCTTCTTCGGGACTGGCCTTGGCCTTCCCAGTCCACCTGCAGGGCTGGGCTTGGAGCAGTCATGTTAATTTTGTATGTCCGTAGCCTGCCATAGTAACTAGTGACTGGCCCGAGGGAGAACACCTGGGATAACCTGGACCCATCAGATTTCTCCTGCATGGATTTAGAAGCGGGGTGCTGAGTGGAGTCTATGCCTGTGGCAACTGGACGTCATTCCTCAGATTTCTCATCACTAGAGTCAACACTGGCCTTTGTTTACCATGGCACTTCCCTGTCGCCACATTTCCAATCTCCCTTTCTCCTACTCTACTTTCTCCCAAACCCTGGTAATCTACATGCCACATGTGCTTACTTGTGATGTCTACAGGCCCTCCCCTCTCTTTCCGGCTCCAGGAAGGCGAGTCTCTCCACTTTGTTCACCGATGCAGCCCAAATGCCTAAACTATTGCCTGGTGCATTCTATACAGAAAAACGCGTAACTGAATAAATGAGTTCAAGCTGTAGTGTGGTCAGAAAATATTTTGTCATCCAGAGAAGCAGGAAAGCCAGGACGTAGCGGGAAAAAGAATCAGAGTTCTACCTAGAGACCAACAAGCTAGTGAGAGCTCTCCAGGTTTAGCCCCATCTAGACTCCAGGCTGTTGTTTTGAACTGGACTTCATGAGTTCTCAGAGTAAGCGATCTCCAGGACCTTGTTCAATTAAGGGAGCATAAAGCATCCAGATTTCCAAGAACTTACATCCTAGAGGACTTAGTGAAGACCCAGGAACTAGAGAGAAGTGACCAGAGGGGGAATCAGGTGAGGAGGTTGTGTCCAGTCGGCTTTGCCTTTTACCTGGACTCATACAGAAAGCCACTGCAGAGTTGAGAAATTTTACATCTGAATCTATTACATTTAAAAGGATCCCCTTGGCTGTCACAGAGCAATCTGAGGGATGTGGGAGGCAAGAGGAAGCCTGAATTTCAACCAGGAGCTACTGCAGTGATTCAGGAGAGAGGGAGACTCTGAACAGGTGTCACTGGGGTGTGGTAGTGCCAATGCTGCTGACATCTCAGACATATGAGGCCCCACTCTCCAAAACAGAAAGGTATGTCTTCTACAAGCCCGTCACTGTTGGACAGTGGGGCTGTTGATCCACCACATCCTGCCATCTGTCCCTTGTCGCCAGCCTTCTGTTTGTGTGGGATGTCATCAGCCCTCTGCTTATGTGAGGTATCACCAGCCCTGCGCTTATATGGTGTATTACCAGTCTTCTGCTTGTGTGGGGTATCACCAGCCCTTGCCTTCTTCAGGGTGTCTGCAGGCTTCTGCAAAGCTAGTTAGTAATAAGCCTGAGCTATTGGCCAAGCATTTATAATTAATACTAAGTCTCTGAATGGTTATTTGGAAAGTGGCTGGTGGAACACATCTGATTAAGGTCCAGACAAAGAAACCCCCACTTACAGCAGCCCTCAGCTTCTGCAGGGTGAGGCTGAGCAGCTCTACTCTCCAAATCCTGAGCAAGGCTTCAAACCCTTTTCCACCTTGAGTCTACCTGGGCTGTGGGCTGAAGGGAAGACTCAGTGTTTGTAGGGATGGGACTGGGGATGTACGTGTGACTAGAATGGGAGGGGGATTTGTAGTTTGCTGAATTGCTTTGTAACTCTGTATAAAAGTTGCTGATAATTAAGGGGCACTCAGCTGGGTGTTGGATAACCTACAAAGTGTGGCTGGTGGCAGGCAAGGCTTCCACAGCTAGAAACATGACACCTGGATGTGCACCAGGTCATTTCCTGCTGATAGAGCCCCTTGGTGAGACCTGGGGCAGGAAGGTCTGCCCCTCAGACCTTTTAGTCTTTCCCAGAACACATTCTTTCACATATGCATTCTTTACCATGTATGGGCCAGTATATAGATTTTTTTCTAAGTCTCTTAGCCTCTGTCTGTGACTTTGATAGTGGTGAGAAGAAAGAGCAATGTGAGGCAGAGTGTATGACTGCTGGATGTGAGAGCTGCTGGATTCCCAGAGAGAGAAGGAACCCAGGAAAATGTGGGCAGCTGGGGCAAGCAAGCTGAAAACAATAGAGTTACAGACGACAGCAGGAAGCTGATCAAACAGATCGTAGCCTTTGGAGGGCCTTGGACGATGAACCCACCTCTTTGCGGATAAAGAAATGTGCTGAGAGGTGTGAAGGAGAGAAAGTCACTGCCTAGCAGCTTAGTGGGACCCACGAGTGTGCCAGCATTCACCTACAAGCGACGAGTCCTAAGAATGAAAGAGTTAGGCAGACACGCATTCCTTTGTCATAATAGGAAGTACCGTATGCTCCCTAAAGAAAAAGTCAGGTTGTTAGGGCGCTTTTTACCCCTTCTGAACCAAGGTGTAATTACCTCCATCCCTCTGTGTGGGGGGAAATTAGGTTGTGGTCACACCTGGGCTCTGTGCCTCTGTCACGAAGAGGGCTTCATTTCGAAAGTTTCACTCTTGTTCATGCAGTGCTGGGAAGGCCCAAGGGGCTGACTGACCTCAAATACAGTCCTCTGAAATACCTTGAAGGGCTAATCTGGGGACAATCCTTACACACCAGTTTTCTTGAATCTTACAGAATACAAGTCCACTGAGTCAATAGTTCTTGCATAACACCCCCCCTTTTTTTTGAGATGAGGTCTTTCTAACTTTCTATGTAGCCTAGGCTGGCCCTGAACTTACAGAGATCCACCTGCCTCTGCTTCCCAGGTGCTAGGATTAAAGGTGTGCACCAGCCACTATGCCTGACTTACATAACCATTTTTTTTTTAATTTAATGTGGTCATTTTCTTAATTTGCGATAATCTCAAGGAACTCTTAACTGAACTAGGAACAGAGTTGATTTAAAGTTAAGGTTGAAATCAAAAGAGTTTCTAAATACATACTTTTGATGAAATAAAGCAGGCATCAATGTCTTGTAAGTGACTCCCGACCCCTAGCCCACAGAGTTCAGATTAAGCTGAGATTCAGTACAGACATCGGATCTCAATCATCTGGAGTGAGTGCTCTGACACACTGAAAAGCACCAGGTCCTCGAACAATAATTAAAAGACGCTTCATCATTCCTATCAAAAGCAGCTATCAAGCTGTTACTGAGAGATTTAATTCCTAGAGACGGATGGGGAAGTGGGATTATTTATAAACACCAAAGCTTTCTCCCTGTGTTTGGAAACGTTTCCTTGGGAGCTTTCACACGGTCCCTACACTGTGAGATGTCCTGGCTTCTCAGATAGTGGGAAACATAAAATCTACATTTTTTTTTTTTTTTTTTTTTTTTTTTTTGTCTAAAGAAAGGAGTTACAAATCCTCTTGGAAAAATACCGTTGTGGAATAATAAAGGAAACTATGCTTCAGCAGATATAAAAGGATAGTTGACCCCCACATCTGTGGGTTCTCCATGTGCAGATCCAACCAGCTGCAGACTGGAAATATTTGGAAATCTGAAGAGATGTGGATGTGCTGAACACAGGACAAGCTTTTTTTTCTTTTTAGTATTTCCTAAACAATACAGGACAGGGAGTCTTTGTGCCACATTTACATCGTTTAAGGCATTGTCTGTAATCTAGAGCTGATTTAAATCAGACAGGAGATTTGCATAGGTTCCCTGTAAACTGTGCTATTTTAAGAAAAGGACTTAGCAGTCACACATCTTGATATCTGGGAGAAGGGACTCCCAGGATGAATTCTCAGTTGAGTACCGAGGGATGGCTGTTCTGTGAAGGGCAGAATGCTCCGCAAACAATCAGATGAGAAAATGGTAAATCTGTATGCTTCGTGTGCACAGATAATGCCTCAACCCCTCCATGTGCAGAAGAACTGCCGGCTTTGCATTATGCCATTCCCCTCCCCTTCCCCTGATTTCCCCTGTGACCCATAACGTCCACAGGAAAGGAGGAGAGCAGTGAATGCGCATCTTAGTGAAGCCGGCGCACCTCAGAGGCGTCCCTCCTCCCTGTCGTCCCCATTGCCACCTTTGCCTAAAAATGCTGTGTTCTCTTTGAATATTGTTTAAAAATAATTTGCTCTTGAAAGGATACTGGCCTTTTTAGGAAGCAGCTTCTGGCACGGACCAAGCTGTTTTGTGATCTAAGCTCTTTGAGAGAGCAGCATATCTCAGAAAGCCCGCAGTAAAAGCGGTGGTTGCTAAGGGAACAATTGAATTGCTGACACAGAGACATGTGATGTGACTGAAAACTCTTTTCTTCTCCTGCCACGTGGAAAAGAAAGCAGATGAGTCAGAGGGAATGGTGGACCGTCCTTTCTGACTGCTAAGAAAGCTGATGGTAAAATAGGCTGGACCCAGAGAGGAAGAGTCGGGCCGTGGTTCAAAGGGAATTAGAGGCTGGAGCAATGGCTGGGCCCCTAAGAGCACTTTCGCTCTTGCAGAGCACAGAGGTACCATTCCAGAACCCCGATGATGGTGACGCATAGCCGTCCATAGCTTCAGTTCCAGGGGACTGGACGCCCTTTTCTGACCTCCGTGGGCCCTGGGCATGCACGTGGAACACATACATACATGCAGGCAAAACATTTGTACACAAAAAATAAAAATAAATACATTTAAAAAAAATTCAGAAAAAAAAAAATAAAAAAAAAAAAAATTCAGAGCCTCCGAAGCAGCTGGAAACTGAGGGTAAGTTGTGTGTGACAGTCAGCTGTGAGATGGCTGGCCGTAGGTCCATAGAGTCAAACACAGAGGATGCTGCGCGGTCACATCTTCCTGGAACACCATCCTAAATACTCTGAAATATTTCCTAAGTTATTGAATCACTCACTCATAGACCATAGGCATTTGGGAGAGAGCCTATTGGTTTTTAAGCACCTTTTGTGTGTGTGTGTGTGTTATAATTTATATACCTTAAAATTCATGACAACTATATGCTTTAGTGTGTTGGGGGTAACTTTACGAAGTCCCTTAATTGTTCTTGTAATGTAATTTGGGAATATGTCCACCTCATCAGAAAGTCCCCTTTTGCCCATTCAGCTACTCCATCCTTCCGGCCTAGACAAAGACTAGTCAGCTTTGGAACTTGCTCATTAACCTTTCATAGACACTTCTGAAAGACGTGATAGAGCCTGCAGGATTTTGTGTCTGGATTACTTATCTTGTATCATGTTTGAGATCTGGCCATATTGTACCATGTCTCAGCTCATTCCTTTTAGACTGAATAGTATTCCGTTGTCCCAATATACGACACCACACGTTCACCAGAGGAGGACATTTTTGTTGATGTTATTGTTTTCTGGTTTTGGAGAATTATGGAAGATGTCTCCATGAGGCACTCGTGTACAAATCTGTATAGGGAACTTTTCATTCCTTTGGGGGGTGTGCCTAGGATTAGAACTTCTGAAACATTGGTAGGTATGCTTAACTTTTTAGGAAGCCACTCAAGGCCAGCAGAGGACTCAGCAGGTCAGGCACTTGCCACGGAGCCTGGTAACTGGGTTCCATGTCCAGAACCCGCGTGGGGGAAGCCGAGAGTCTAATCATGGAAATTGTTCTCTGGCCTCCACACATGTCCTGTGTACATGTTTATAAACACACACACACACACACACACACACACACACACACACACACACACACACGTGTGTGTGCACACTTACATGCACACACAAGAAATAAATAAATGAAATAAAAAGTGAGAGGTCCCCAGTTTGTCCCCATCCTCCAGGTAGATCTAGGCTGACACCACTTCCCAGGTATTGTGAACAGAGTAGTAAAGAACATGATGCGGAAGTATCTCTATAGTAAGATACGGAATCCTTTTGGGTATATGTCCAGGAGTTGTACAGCTGAATCATGTGGTAGATCTACTTGTAGCTTTTTTGAAACCTCCACATGACTTCCATAGTGGCTGCACCAATTCCAACTCCCACCAACAGTGGTTAATAATCTCCCTCGACAGCATTCCTCGTCATTTAACACTTCTTAAGATTTATTTATTGTTTTACGTGGATGAGTGTTTTGCCTGCATGTGTGCCCACATGCATACAGGACCCACAGAAGTCAGAAGAGGGCATCAGATCTCTTGGAAATGGAGTTACAGATGCCTGAGCGCTGCCATGGGGGTGCTAGAAATCCAACTTGGATCCTCTGCAAGAGCGACAGATGCTCTTGACCGCTGAGCTAACTTTCCAGCCCGTCACTTGTTTTCTTGACAACCATTCTGTCTTGGGTGAGGCGGAAGCTCCAAGTAGCTTTAGTGTGCATTTCCCTAGGAGCTAATGATGTTGAACACTTTTAAAATGTTTTATTGGTTGTTTGCCTTTCTTCTCTTGAAGACAGTTTTATAACCTGTTCTTTTTTTTTTTTTTAATTGGGTTGTTTGTTTTCTTGGTTTAGTTTCTTGAGTTCTTTGCATACTCCAAACACTGGTCCTCTGTCAGATGAGTAGTTAGCAGAGAGTTTCGCCCATTCTGTAGGCAGTCTCTCGCCCAACTGGCTGTTTCCTGTGCTGGATGAAAACCTTTGGGTTTCATGAAACCCGATTCGCCTTCTTTGCTGAGCAACTGGAGCCCTTGTCAGAAAGTCCTGTGTCTCGACATGTCCTCCCTGTCTTTCCTCCAGCTGTTTCCTTGTTGTGTTTGGAGTTGAGTTGTATGCAGGGTGAGAGGGAAGTATCATTCTAGTATCATTCTTTCACTCGCAGACATCCAGTTTTCCCAGCACCATTTGTTGAAGACACTGTCTTTTCTTCAATGTGTAGTTTTGGCTTCTTTGTCCAGCATCACAGGTGGCTGCAGCTGCACGGTCTTGTCTCTAGACCCTCTGGATTATTCCATTGATCTACACTGTGCTGGTTTGGTTTTGGTTTTTTTTTTTTTTTTTGGTTTTTTTTGAGACAGGGTTTCTCTGTGTAGCTTTGCGCCTTTCCTGGAACTCGCTTTGGAGACCAGGCTGGCCTCGAACTCACAGAGATCCGCCTGCCTCTGCCTCCCGAGTGCTGGGATTAAAGGCGTGCGCCACCACCGCCCGGCGGTTTTTTTTTTTTTCTATTCCTTTTCTATTTTTTCGGGGGTGAGGGGAGTGGGTTGGTTTTGTTTTTTCCAGACTGGGTTTCTCTGTGTAACAACTCTAACTGTCCTTGAACTCACTTTGTAGACCAGGCTGGCCTCGAACTCACAGAGATCCTCTTGCCCCTGCCTCCTAAGTTCTGGGATTAAAGGCATGCACCACCACCTGGCCTCCTGTGTTGTTTCTTATTCCTAGAGTTCTGTAGTATATCTTCAAGTCATATGCTGACACCTCCAGGAATAATCTTTTTGTTGAGAATTGCTTTAACTTTCTTGGGTATGCTTCATGTTTTATGCTTCAACCTGATTTAAATACTGATTTTTCTATTCCTATGAAGAAGTGCTGGATTTTGATTGGGATTTCATTGAATCTGCAGATTGGTGTGGGGAGGACGTCCATTTTCACAGTATTAATTCTTGCAATTTATGAGGCTAAGGAGTCTTTCTTCTAGTGTCTTCCTCAATTTCTTTCTTCAGTGTTGGAAAGCTTTCATTGTGAAGGTTTTTCACATTCCTGGTTAGGTTTAATCTAAGATATTCTTTAGGCTGTTGTGAATATCCTGGGTATAGAATCATATCATCTGAAAACAGAAACACTTTCATTTCTTCCTTTCCTATTTCATTCCCTCTTCTTTGCCCCTCTTATCTTACTGCTCTAGCTAAGACTTCCAAAAAGTTCATCCCTTTTTCTTGTCCATATTTTAGGGGAAACGCTGTAAGTTTCCCCCATTTAACATAACGTTGGTTATTCGTTTGTCACATGGGGCCTTCGTTATGTTGAGACACATTCATTTTATTGCACATTTCTTCAGGGTTTTTAATGTGATGGAATGTTGGATTTTGTTAAAGCTCCTTGTCTGTGTCAGTGAGGATGACCATGCACTTTTTGGCCTTGAGTCCATCTGTGTCATTTAGAACATTTATTGATTGCTGCATATTGAACCATCTCTGCCTCTCTGAATAAAGCCCATCTTGTCATGGTAGCGATACTTTGATGTGCTCTTGCATTTGGTTTGCAATATTTTGTTGAAAACTTTTGCATCTGTGTTCATCAGGTAACTGGTCTGTAATTTTCTCTCTTTTTTTTTCTTGTGTCTTTATCTGCTTTTGGTATTAGGGTAATACTAAGTTCCTAAAAAGTTTATCATTGTTCCCTTATTTTCTACTTTATGGAATAGTTTGAGAAGCACGGATGCTCTGCTTTGAAGGGCTGGGAAAATTCATAGTGAATCCATCTAGGTCTGAACTTTTTTTTAGTGAGGAGATTTTTAAAAATATTCAGTCAATTTTTTTGTCATGCCTTGAAAAAGATTTTTCTTTTAGTATTTTTAAATTGTTTTTTTTGGGGGGATGTGTGTGTGTGCTTGCACATATGGGTGCAGGTGCCTGAATAACCCAGAAAAAGGTGTCACATCCCTTGAAGCTGGAGTTACAGGAGGTTGTGAGCCACCCAATGTGCATGCTGGGAACTGAACTCTGGTCCTCTAGACAGCAGTAAGTGCTTTAAACCCAGCAGTTCTCAACTGTGAGACGTGACCCCTTTGGAGGCCCAGTGACTCTTTCTCAGGAGTTGCCTAAGCCCATGGGAAAGCACAGATGGTGACATCATAACTCATAACAGTAGTAAAATTACAGTTATCAAGTAGCAACAACAATAATTTTATGGCTGGGGGTCCCCACAACACGAGAAACTGTGTTAAAGGGTCCCAGCATTAGGAAGGTTGAGAACCGCTGTCTTAACCACTGAAGTATCTCTCCATTACGTAGTTATGAGATTAAAACTAACTCTTCAATTTGACTGCTTGCTATAAATTTGTTTAAATTGTTTATCTTAACGTGGCTTAATTGTAGTAAGTCATATGCATCTAGAAATGTATCTGTTTACTCTAGACTTTACAGTGTAATGGAATATAACTTTTTAAGGTAAAAACCAGTGATTTGCTGAATTTCATTAGCATTTGTTCAGCGTCTCCCTTTCATCTCTAGTTCTATTAGTTTGGGTCTTCTCTCTCTTCTGGTTAGTTTAGCTAGTTTGTTGATGGTGTTTACCAAAGAACTCTTTATTTCACTGACTCTTAATAAATTTTTTGCTTCCATTTCATTAATTTTGCACTAATTTTAATACTTTCCTTCCATCTTCTGATTTGGGGTTTACCTTGTTCTTATTTTTTCCAGGGATCTCAGGTGTGTTGCTTCTGTTCAATGTCTCTGATTTCTTAGCGTAGGCACTTAGAGCTAAGACTTTCCCTATTCAGACTGTGTTCGTTGTATCCCATAGGTTTGGGTATGCTGTGTTTTCATTTTCTCTAAAGTCTAGGATTTTTGTTGTTGTTGCTGTTTCTTTCTTGGTTTCTTCAGGGACCCATTCACCAGGTAATAATGTGTTCTAGAGCTTCTCTCCC